AGTGCACAAATGTGGGAAAATGAAACAAAGCCGCTGGACGTAACTTCTCGGGATCCTTCAAAAAGTCCACTGAAAAAATCTTAGTAAATGACCACCATTTTACTGAGATTATAATATTTCATCCCATTTCATTTCATTTAATTTCATCCCAGTTGATTAATGTCTCAAATTAATCATCTTCATTTCATTTCACTCCTTAATATCATTTTTCATAAAAATATGAATATAAATTAAAATAAGACATGACTTAAAGGTCTCAGTTACCAGGTCATAAAATCCCTTAAAAAAAAGTAATCACGAGTGTCCATGAATTTCGAAATACAATAAAGATTGGTGCGCGCTTAGCATGCTTTCGGATTTAATGAGTGGGGCGGAGGTAAAGCATCACAGCTGCGACTTTCCTTTCCTTGGTTTTTGGTAAGTAGTTCACGTTGAGAGGTCTATGATCTCCGATAGCTATTGGCTATGAGCTCACTCGTTCACCAGAATATCCAAAATAGATTATGTATTAAAAACTGAAGTTTCAATATGCAATTCAGGTCTCCTCAATTTGATTGTCACATAAGAAACTTTATTAAGTAGGGTTGACCGCGTGAGGGAACGAACCTTTAAAAAAAAAACAGTGAACGCCCTAACAAGGCTCGACAAGAGCTAGAATTAGTTTTGGATTTTATAATTATTCTAAAGCATTGATTGTGTTAAGAATGATTAGAAGTTAGTATATAAACTTGCCGCCTAGTATATTCCGACGTTGTGTCATAAATTACAAAGTTACATCTACGTCCACTGTATTATTAGAAAAACGTTTTTTATATATATTTTTATGTTTTTTTTTTTATAAAAGCTACCTTTTTAACAGTCCTAAAATATTATTCTTAAGTATTAGATATTAATATTTTTCTACAATGATATCTGATACGTGCAGCGCTCATTTTTAATATACAATTTTTTTTCTTAGATTCTACCTTAAAACTAATTTTATTATCAATTATTATAAACTAGTTTTAGTTTAGTGAGGTGGTTTCCCATTAGGTTGTATGAAGTATTTTTGTGTCTAGAAACTTTTATTGCATTTTACATCCACCAATCGATACGTGTATATTGAATTATTCTCTTAGTGACAGCCTTTTATATCATAGACATTTGTCACTCGCAAATCTTTTCACAAATTGCAATATTTCTGACAGAAATCGTCATGAAATTTTTATAAATTTGGAACATAAAATGCAATAAACTTCTATGGAGGGCGCAGAAATAGGATATATTCAAACAATTTTACTATTTATGCGCCCTTTATCTTATAACTAAGATATACTGTTACATATATATAATATAAGAGAATATGAGAACCAGATTAGTTTGAGAATTTTAAGAGAAAATTTATTATTTTTACAATTAGAAATTTCCAGTAAGTAATTCCCGCGATTGATTTGGAAGTACTTATAGTATATTTAGTTGTGATCGAGTTTTTATTATTATTGTGGTGACTAGGGAAGATTCCAGACGGTTCAAATTTCTCTTTCGCTTTTATTGCTTATATTCGTTTTCTAACGTAAAAATCAATTCAGTTGGGACGTTAAGACTAAACAACCAAAAAGACAAGACCTGCTCGTCACTCATTTGGTCATCGCCTCAAACATTATCATAGGACCAATAAATAGCTTGTAATTTTTCATTATGCACATAAACAATGACCGAATCGTTCTATATGAGATACTAAGTACTGCCAGTTGGTTAGCACTAGCAAAACATAGTAGTTGAATGCAACTCAGCAATCCTCCACTTTCATGCATGACTCTCTCTCTTTCAATAATGGTGACGTCAATATGAACTCCATAATGAAGAACAAACGCTTTCAACCATGTTTTGTGACTGATTCAAAAGTGTCCGCGTTGCAAGACTATTCAATGCGAATGGACTTGAAATTGAAATACGGTGTGCAAGTTTAGTATGTGATGTTTTATTGTCAGTTTACAAATTACTGCTCTGTGATAATTCTGTGGAAATTATGCCTTATATAATCTTTTTATTTGCATATTTAATATGTTACTTTAAATTTACGCCGGAATACGAAACGTCACATTTGAAGTTTACTATTTTAATAAGAATATTTTGATCTGTCTCAAAACCTGTCTCAACTAATACATACGTGTTCTCTCTGGTTTCTTATATCGAACAGACAAGGCTGTATGGGCTTAGATCCCCTTGCTTTTCCTATTAAGGAAACACTGTAAGAAAAAAAAAAAAAATCTCTGGTTCCCATATTATAATAAATCTAATACGTATATCCATAGAGAATAAACTATGCTAAATATGCGAAATATTACAAGAAAAAAAAACGGAATACATAAACTTAAATTAAAATTAACAAATTTAAATTTAAGAAACCACTATTTAACTTACAAAACCACTGAAACTTAAACTAAGGCGGATTTAAGGCAAAAGTAAAAATTGAAAAATCTTTAAAATCTCCAAATCAAAAACTATTTATCGGAACACTTTTAAATGTTAATTGTGTCGTCATATTCATTATTTCACTGAATTAAACTTTGTTTTGAGATTTTAAGCTCTCGGTTTAAGAGTTAAACATTAAAAAGGTTAAAACTTAAAGATAGCTGTGTCTACGTATCGCGATAACATTAAAATTAAAAAACCGTTCACAAACGAATTACCTTTAAGCTTAGAATGAACGTAGTGCAACGTGTAAATCAAAGAAAGATTGTATATACCTACCTTTTCACCTCACGCTAACGCAATCACTTAAGGCTAAAGAAAAAACAACAACATTGCAATAAAAATAATATTCAATACATTCTTAACCATCTAATACCATTTCGTATGGAATCTTTCCTTAAAGATTAACGACTACGATAAAATCTACTTTTCAACCTTATGCAATATAATATATAACATATACCATTCTTATGTACAAGGTACCTTGAATATATAGGTATATTTTTTTCTTTAAAATCTAATTGTATTAGCGTGCCCTAGTCGAGTTTGGTTAGGTACATCAGTTTTTAAAGAAATTTCACGACATAGTTTCAGTTTACGTAAGTGACTAAATATTTTGCCTGTAGCCCTTTCAGCATCAACCTTTGTCAATGTTAATTCTGGAAAGGGCTCTGTGTTATTTTCTATATCAATAGATTACTTGATGCGCCTTTCAGTAATTGCTTAGTCAGAGGTTAAAAAAGGAATCTTTAGAAGAATTAAAGAGATATTTACGTTCTATTGTATTTTTTTAACCGATAATGCGCATAGTGGGACACCGTATATGTATTAATAACACGTAATCACAAATGTCTAGACTGTTTGAGCTAAGAGAACTGCGCAATAGTGAACGACACTGTGGCGCAGAAGTTAGCGCTCTTGGCTGTCAGATCGAGGGGTGCGAGTTCGATTCCTACATCGGACAAACATTCGTGTGACTATTTTTTTTTTATTTTCCGATTCAATTTTTTTTTTCAAATATAAATGTCAGATATCCGCGATTACCAAAATAGCTTCAAATGTCTGAAAACCACTCAAGTTTATTTTCATCTATAACGACTTCTTTGATTCAGATGTTTCTGTAACATTATACTGTGTGTGATGAAGGTTTGCTGAGTACTGAAATAACAGCAGTTTCAAAAAAAGATGGTCCCCAAACGCGAAAGAGGCACATAAACAATTTTACTTTCTTCTCTAAATTAAGGAGTGCTTTTTAGGAATCAAATACTTAAATACCACCTTAAAGTCTATTGACATACCTACTAAATAGTTTTTTTCATTTATCCTGCATATATTATATATTTTACAAACGTTTTTTTAAAACTATCCCTTAAACAATATAAAAGTTATAAATACGAAAGGAAAAAAACTCACCCTCGATGACGTTACAAAAAATCATAACAATAAAAATTATAAAATTCTAATAATTGAACGCAGGAAGCAATTGAAATCAATCTTAAAAATAACATTCGACGTAATATATAATTAACACCGGCTGCATAAAAATTATATTTTATATTAAAAAATTAAAAAATATAAACGCTTATCATATTGATTAAGAAACGTAACCAAACCATATTATTGATAAAAAAAAAAATTGAATGTACAAAAATATATATTATATAAACGAAATCAGAACTAATACAATATAAACTATGAAGTTTCTAATCTGATTGGTCCAAGTAAGTGTCTATGTACATGACGTCACTTCCGACTGTCTTATTTGCACCAAAAACTCAAATATTGTAACTCTTTGATGTTGGCAAATCGTTAAGAACGTTACAATGTATATTTTAAACAATATTAATGTAAATTAAGTCGAAAATCCGTGAAACTTTTACTAAGGTGTAAGAAAAAATAAATATCACATCGCACTTATTTCCTAAAAATGAATATGCTTATGAATTAATATTGTGCCATGACAATGTCTTATGTGTATACCGAAAATGCCTAGCACAACATTCAGGAATCAAAATTATTGAAAACATCTAAAAGTTACATAAGTCTATTTTAATTGAATGAGACCTGTTAGCTGTGGAGAATTTCTAGACTTTTCCAGCCATGCACAATAGAGAAAGTTAACAAAGCTTCCGCAGTGACATTAGAGTATTTCAAGATTTAAAAAAAACTCTTTAGTTATCCACTTTATTTTTTCTATTGTTGTTTACTAACGCGGTCAAAATTCATTTATTCATGTTTCATCCACGACTGATTAATGCATTCCAAGATACAAATATTTTAAATAAAAAATCGAGCTATTAAAAATCATTAAATTGACCATTCGTCTGTTTCCAAAAGAGAACGCGCAGAGGTATTATTGTACTGTAAGTACATTATGACAGACCCTAGATTTGTTTATCGTTTTTTTTTATACTGTTTACAGCTAACAAATCCCAACAAAACCGAATTAAAATCTAATGCTAATTACTATTTAAACTCAATAACTATGATTTTATCACTCACTTGACGAGTATCTCATCTATGACGACGCTAAAACGTTTTTAATTATTATGTATTACTAATTATTAGTTATTAATTAATCACCTTTACTATATAGACATAAGGTAATATTTTCATTTAGCACGAAACTACTTCAATAGTATCCCTGGTGACGTGTCGACATTGGTGATATAGCTTACAAGTTTTTTTTTTTTAATATACTTTATAAACTACTAAATTCACAAAAATCCCTCATTTATTTTACAATCGTACGTGACTTCAAACAGATCTTGTTTGTAAAATGGCGGCCATGTTTATTATTCGAATTCGTCACTTCTTTCATTCAAAATGGCGTCTTCTTTAAAATGTGATTTTATGTCAATCGGTTTGTACGACGCGAATAAGCGCATATTTTACTGAATGCAGTTTTCGACGCATGCCGTCACGTCGGTCTCGCGTGGGATCGCGACATTATTGTCGTCTTCTTCTAACGCTCACATTAGAAAGGGATAGAGAAACACGTACATACCGAAAACCATATTCAGAGCGCAGTAAGCAATTGTGAAGTTCAGCGGTAGTCAAATTGGGGCCAAAACTCTATTGATGATCATAAATAATTTATTTCACTGAACCTTGACGCATCAATGTACGAGTCACGTGCGTTAATGCAATTCCTATAACGTTTGTTTTTCACTAAAAATAGCATGTGGTATCCAAATTTTTTATTTTTTTTTCCAACCAAAAAGGTAGATGAGACCTTTGAGATTCGTTTTCTATTTAATTATTACGATGGGATGAATGTTTCGATCGACTATTTTTATTGAAACAATATACGTTATAGCAACTACATTTTATTGTATGTAATTATTTCTTCACATCGGATGGAATCCTGGTAAACTTAGGCCTCTCCCTCATATTTCCTGAACGAATTCAATCTATTTATCGAACGCAAGCTGCGATCAAACTTTGAGAGCCAGTTACCCCTAATTTACGTCTTACGAGACTAAAAACATTAAAATACTGCCTATCCGTAAACGGCTAATTTAAAGCACATTCATATTAATATCGAATATTAATTTTGAAACTTATCACATACCTCACGGAAGAGTAGAAGAAAAACAAATTCTTGGTATTGAACAAAATATTTACATTCTTAAATTAAGAACATTTAAAAGATACTTTATGTGTAATGGATACGATCATACAAAAAGGAACCAGCCACAGATTGTACAACCTAACGTTTTTTTATTTATTTATAATGGTGTTCAAAAAATAGAAAAGAATTTAAAAAAGGAAAGTCTGATGGCGCATAGATAATGCCGATTTTTCGAATCTTCAAGGAACTTTACAAGGAAATCAAATGCAACGCAAGAGATGACCATACTTGAAAAAATTAATCTAAAATCATTTCATTAATTTTCATAGTTTTAATTTGTGACCGGTTCGCGTTTAAGAGTAAATGACGTCATTCTAAATACGTTTAATCTAAACATCGATTACATATTTTTTTTAAGTAAAATTGTTTTTTTTTTTCAATTCTAAAAATAGTGTATGAATTTCTACAGCTAACAGTACAAAATACTAATTTATTAATTATAATCACTAAGAATTGGTTATGAGATTTAAATATAAATAAGAAGATTTAAAACGGTTTGGTTTCCTCCTGTTTTACGGCTCCGATCTCTTGGAGTACCGCCTCCAGCCCCTCGGGCATCCGACCTTGATCCAATTCCATATTCCATTTGTAGTACTGTTGGCAGAACAATTAATTTCTAATGTTTAAAAAAACCTCGACAGTCGCATCAAATTCTAAGGTTGAACTTGAAATTTTTTTTTGTTTTTATTGCCTCTGTGGGGAGATGAGCATACGGCCCACTTGATAGTAAGTGGTCACCGTCGCTCATGGGCGTCAGCAAAGCCAGGGGCAGAGCCAAGCCGATGCCTACCATTAAAGATATGTAGCAAAATCATAGCCACAGGCCTATTTACACCAGTTTGGGCTTACAACAGTTCCTAATAACTAGAACTATTTACTTTCTGCTATGATTGATTAACAATGCTAGTGCATCGAAGGTCAGGCCTGCAACTATGATCGGACAAGTGGACCGCGGTGGTCACAAGATGTCAAGGAACAAGGAACCACATTTTGTGAGGCGGCGACGAATTTTGCCCCCTGCCTATTCGCTAATAGTCTAAGAGGCTATTTCAGCTACGCGCCGAACTCTATTATTTGACATCTAGGGAGATAACGAGCACATCGCTGCTTCTGTAAGTCACCCACTATTTTTTCGTTATCTCCTGATAATATTTTCGAAAAAAGAAAACAACCCGGATTTTTTACTGTACTTGATACATTGTTGCAACCCTAGGGCATAGTGGGCTGTCAGACACGTGTGTCATGGAGTTCGACGTAACACGTAAAAAAAAATTTATCTATTTGTTTTTAGAACTCACCTTGTCAAGTTCCTTCCGGAGCGCCAAAACGGATCGCTCCCTGTCAGCCACCAGCTCCTCCAGATATTGGTATCTGAGCTTCTTACGGGCGCGACATTCGCGAGCCGACTGTCGGCTGCGTTCTAAAATTGCATAGATAATATTATGATTATTAAAGACTTCGTTAAATAATTATGTGCTTTAGCAGATCGAAAATAAAACAATCTAGAAAGATCAGAAATGCTTACGAATACTTCTTTTTCTATGGTGGAATTTCTCAAAGACAGAAAGGAGATTTATTACTGGTGGTAGGACCTCTTGTGAGTCCGCACGGGTAGGTACCACCACCCCGCCTATTTCTGCCGTGAAGCAGTAATGCGTTTCGGTTTGAAGGGCGGGGAAGCCGTTGTAACTATACTGAGACCTTAGAACTTATATCTCAAGGTGGGTGGCGCATTTACGTTGTCGATGTCTATGGGCTCCAGTAACCACTTAGCACCAGGTGAGCTCGTCCATCAATCTAAGCAATAAAAAAAAGGAGTCATTTTTTTTATTGCATCGACAAATGTGGTCAAAATCTCAATTGTATTGTTCGCTTATTATGTAGATCTCACAAAAATGGGTTGTGTGCCATAGAGCCAAATTCATACTTCCAGTCCATATCCTACTGCTGTACTGAGCTTTTATACAGAAGTTCATTAGAGTGAGAGAGACATTGTTTGAGATGTTCCTCTCATCTCTATCGCACCCCCCCCCCCAATCATAAAGTCCAGTATTATACTACTTAAAACTATTTAAGACCACTGTCCGCCGTGCGTTTTCTGGTTTTTTAGGTCACGTCCACTTCGGAACTGGAATGAAAATCCCTCCACGGTATAAGCTGAGTATCTGATATGTCCTTCTATTAAAGCGTTGTAAAAATTTCCCCTACCTATTCTCTGGTAGCTTAAGGGGATATTCCAGCTTCTTGCGGCCGGGTAGGTGAGCTCACGGGCTCAACCTGATAGAATTTGCAGTAAGAGCACTGTTTCGCAGAATCTGTCACCGGATCGAAATCGTAACCCGCTGAGAAGATCCAGCGAGAAACTCAGTGGGTAGAAAGAGTCGTCAGCGTCGACCAGCATCTCACCTATGCCCTCGATATTGCTGATTTCCATAGGCATCGGTGACCACACCACATCGACCACCACAGTGACCACATTAGGTGGCAGGGCATATCAGCATTAGGTGACAGGACACAAGAACCACTTGGTGTCAACAAACAAATATGAATACGGCGGCCCACTTTGAAAACCGCCCACACAGTATTAATTGTTTCACTACTAAGAGTCCACAACAAATTATTACTCAAATACCACAAATTTGACCTACCCAACCTACCCAATTTAGCCTTCATGTCCTGTTTGTCCAGTTGTGCCTTCCTACCGGGCCTGCGTCCCCGCTTGCCTCCCTCACGTCTCTCCCCACCCTCCGCGCCCGACGCACCCACTGACCCGTATACCCCTCCACCCAGGGACTCCTGCAGAGCAATGAGAAACGTTTTAGATGTAGTTATGCAGAAAGAACTAATTTCAAAAAGCCTCATTTTAATTCTTAGGAGAAATTGTTCGCTCTTTCATCACTTTTAAACGCAATCAGAGTCTCTTAAAGTTTTTTCTGGTGAAAGTCTCCACACATATAAATGAAAGGAGATCCTCATATCCATTATCAACAGCGACTTCAGTAGCGGCAGTTGTCGAAGAAATCAAAACTGTCGAATCTAAATTTAAATGTTTTGCGGATGCCATCTTGCTGAATGTCTTAGTTTGAAAACCACAAGTTCTGTTCTTATTCCGATATCAATACAACCGAGATACAGATTGCATTTCTTATTCAAGATGATCTATTAAAATTTTAAATTAGATCTATTAAAAATTTTGCGTAGTCGCCTGTAAAAGAAAATATTCATTTTGCATTGAATAATTTTGTTGCCTAAAGAAACTATGTATGTATTACAACATAACCAAAAACCTTCCGTGCACCTTCCTATTTTAATACTTGAATGACCTTGCATACATCGGCGTAACGTGAATATGTCCTCTAAAGCGAAGGGGTCGATGATCGCTCGTGATCTTATGTTATGACCGAAAGACGCAGAAAGTCATGAGATATCAGTGGACCAGTTCGGAATTGCATAGCAAATTGGTTCCGAATTAAAATAAAACAACTAGACGCGACTAAAAGTTTTCGATTTCCAACTTTGCTCAAAATATTGAGAGACGAGCATATTGTTCATCTAATACTGTTGTTACTGGTGGTAGGACCTCTTGTGAGTCCGCACGGGTAGGTACCACCGCCCTGCCTATTTCAGCCGTGAAGCAGTAATGCGTTTCGGTTTGAAGGGTGGGGCAGCCGTTGTAACTATACTGAGACCTTAGAACTTATATCTCAAGGTGCGTGTCGCATTTACGTTGTAGATGTCTATGGGCTCCAGTTACCACTTAACACCAGGTGGGCTGTGAGCTCGTCCACTCATCTAAGCAATAAAAAAAAAAAAAAATTAGAGATTTCCATTATTTGTAGATACTAATGCAGAGCATTTCGAGCTAGATATATACATATTTAGTGTAGTGTATCTTATTGTAATTTATCATTAAAGACCGTTCATTTATTTCCTTTATCAAGCAACCGAGGCACTAACACAAACTATTACCTTTCTTCTTTCTTTCCCTCGGAGACATAATAAAAGAACTTATTTACAAATTAAAGAACAGAATCAATTAAAAAAGTTATAAAAAAGCATTTTATCAAGCTTCGACGGAACAAGAAAAGCGGTTGGTACGCAATAATTCAAATTTCAAGACTACTGGTATTTTCATTAAGAAACTTACACCGAAAGGCAAAGTTAGCCGAGAATAAAGTTAAGTTGCTCAAAGTACGCTGTAATTTTATTATTAAAATATATTATATTATACTATGGATACTTTTATGTGTTAATAATAGAAAACTAAAGTACAAGATGAGAGACAATTCATAGAAGAACGGGGCATTGTATTCGTTTAAGTGCGATATCGTGCGTAGTGCAGGGCGCGTATCAATTGTAAATAAAACATTATCTCGAACTAAAACTGACTAACTCAAATGAAACAATGTTTTGCTTATTTACTTTAAGAATAAATAAGAAAGATTGGGCACGTCCCAAATATGAAGGTATTTTATATCGTAGATCATTTCATTTGTTTATAGTCAGACCCGATTGTGTCCGCCATTTTAAATGAGTTTTTGAATTCATCGACGTTTTTTCAGTGGCCAACCATTTATAGACATAGATTAGTTTTGTCATTGATTAATTTAAGATATTATGTATTTAAAAAAACAGAGTATCATTAGTGTTAGATATTTCAGAATATCATGTTCAAATTGATTGACGTATTGTCGAGATTCTTTCTGCACAGTATGCAGAGATGAATAGACAGTTAAACAAAATTTTGTTTTTGCTTTGGTACAATATAAATATTATGATTATATTCATTGAAAAAAAAGAGTTATTATCAAAATAGATTTACAAAAACGTAATCTTTAGATCGTTTATGTTGTTAGTAAATCATTCTCTGACCTTTATTTGAAGTGGCCAAGTTAAGACGCAGAAAACTGCAAACAAATGAACAAAACGCCGGTTCGATGACCTCAAGGCCTCGTTGAGACATGCTTAAGTTGATTGCATGATATGTGTTTGAAGTTTGGTATACTCTCTAGTTAAGAACTTAAAGTCTAATTCACATTGCACTAAATATCTATTTAAAAAAAATTGTTTGTCACAAAACAATAATCTTCTTTTCGTAATGGAAAACAGATTAAAGCCATTTTTTGCTGGCAGACGGTTCTCGAAAGCTCGCGGCATCGATAACGGATGCGCCTTCTTAAATCACAGATTTAATTCAAGATGTCTACAAATTCCAAAAGCGTCGGTCATTCATCACTGTCACCATCACAATTTTGATGTCTAGAAAACTACGCAGTACGCCGCCATATTGGATGCATCGCCATTATTCGGATCAATAATTGAAGTAAGATTTACTCGAAATATACTTTTAATTTGTAAAACATATCAAAACACGAATTCAGAAATTATTGATTATTGCAGCAGTCATCAAAATTCATCGTTCATAAATCAGGTAGCTAGGTAGAACACATAAATATTTCAGGCAGAAAGTTTTCCGCCGCCATTTTGAATGCACTGATATAAATCGCAACGACTGAACTGTTTAGCTAAAAGCTACATTTTCCACACCTATTTTCATTTAATTTACTAATCCATCGATTATTGGTGGTAAGCAAAACATTATTTACTAAACTTTTTAAAGGTCATCAACAAGATAATTATAACACGACGCATTATTCCTTACTACGAGTACATCAGATTTTCTTAAATCGATTTCAAACTTTGAATTCCCAGCCAATGTAACAGACCGCCCTAGCGATGTTTCGATCGACTACAAATTCACCGATGCTGCTTTTTCGGACTCATCCGGACAATTCATTTCTGTAATTTCAAAATGAACTCTAATCTATGTACTCACATTCCATATCGGAACGACCTTCACAGCCATCACGCAAAGCGTCCACGTAGAAATTAACCAGACTGTGTGAACCGCATATTGAATGACGCCATAAAAAATATGCAATGGCGTAGTTAGTGCACTGTCTCGAGGCAGGCGTGTCGCCCCCAGTTGCAGAGGTGAATGCGCAACAGGGCGAAGCACTTGAGCCAGACAGGGATATTGATTTATGAGTTTTTAGAGCCTGCGCGATAGACCTGAGCCGGCATAGCTCTTACCTAGGTAGCGCACCTAAATATCCAGGGCTCAAAACATTTTTAAACTTGAGTAAAATGAATCTCATAGCATGTTTTCATGTTTATCATTTTATTTATTCGTGTCGTACTTTTTACCCATCTCTTTATTGTTCAAAAGGTAGTTTTGATATGATGTAAAATATTTTTGCCAAAATGAAGGTGCATACTGGATATTTTTCCTTATATTATAATATGATATTTTGAAAATATATGCATTTCCTATTCTGTATGTTCCTAGGGTTCCGTCAATCGCAGGCATGAAAAGATTTGATATATATTGTTAAAAAAGTCAAAATACTCTATAACATTCCAAACCAAATACCCTGTGAAATTAGTATGACATTAATTAAACCGTAAATTTGTTTTTTGAACAATATCTTATCTTTCCCATATCTTTTTGTTAGTATTCGAAAAACATATTTTATCAAAATGCGACCTAAACATTCGTGTTCGTTAGTCAAGTTATTTGGGCATTAAAAACGCAGTAAAAATGTTACGGTGCTTTCCCATTCCACACGTAAACGAAGCTGTTAACTTTGCAAAAATCGATTTTGATTTTAAAAACAAAATCGATTTTTGCAAAGTTCTCAATCCCAAAATGAATAACAATTTGAAAAAAAAATCCATGCGTTCTTAGTATTTTGGTTTGCTTTGTTGGTGTACGAACAACTACAATGATTTTTAACAACATACATTTTCGTTAGCCTTGATAAGATCTTTAGTCTTTGGGTAGCCTTCGTCGCTCAATTAGTTTTATACTTTTCTATACTCTATACTAAGGCTCCGAAACTACTGGACCGATTTGAAAAATTCTTTTTTAATTAGAAGCCGACATTGTCCCTGATGAACATAGGCTACTTTTTTTTATTTATTTTTTATATATTTTTTTTGTTTTCATGTGTGTTTTAATGTTTCCGAAGCGAAGCGAGGGCGGGTCGCTAGTAATTGTAGTATAATAATATTATGATTTGTATTAGAATTATTAAATAATTTTAATAATAATACCTGTCAATTGTGTAGAGTAGTTGTAACAGCCGGTAATGGATATTTACAAATTCTACTCAATTTTTTGATTTTACAGTTGAGATTAGAGAATACTCAGGAAGACAATGCGTTTGTGTAAGTAATGCTTGTCTCAGCTTTCTAACATTAATAGGTCGCTATCCCTATGATGAGGTATTAGAATGTTTCATTAAATTGAAATATGATATACCTACATGGAAATTATATCTAATTATTACATTTGAATTATTGACGCCTAAGTATTTACTTATTGCATAAAATATATTTGCTTCTAAAATTTTGAAATAATTTATAAGCCTACTAATATATTATTATTTCTTATTAAATAAATTTGTTAAAGAAAAATGTAGGTACCTCTAAATTGCGCAGCGATTCCATACTGCCTCAATTTTGCTGAGAAACACCATGACCTTACACACAATAATTATGTACAATGAGAACAAACGTAAATAAAGTATTTCCTTACAACATAGTTGCACACTGCACTTATTTTTATGTTAATTTATGATACGCAGCAAAACAATTCGGTTGCCGACTAGATACAGATACCGGCTGATGCGGGCCGTGGGTACTGCGTCGCAACCGCCGTTTGGTGCGGCGCAATTAGTATCAATTCTAACCTAAAATGTTATTTTCGTATGATTACGTCACATAATAATTCAAACTAGCCGGCAGATATACAGATAAGCATTATTTAGTTTTATTTCGTGTTGTAACTGAGATGGTACTCACGTTTTGTGGGTTTTATCGTAGATTTCGGGCAGCACTGGCGCCTGGCGTAACTTACAGACACAAACTGACAGTGCGCGCGGCGACGCGTTGCGCAGTGGGAACGACCGCGTCCAATTCTCTTTTAAATAAAAGCTTTTAATAATATTATTTCTTTTCGAAGCGACTTGTTTATAATACGCCGTCCTGTGTTAGAATTACGATGTAAACGCAGACTGTGAAGGCAAAAGATATGTCGCAATACAGTTCATTGTAGTACAGTCCCCCACCTTAGCACAGAATGACCTTATCGTTTGGCTGCACTCGGTAACAGCGCCTGCAATACAACGATGCGCGTGTGTGCGTTGCGCCGTAATCGCGTTTAAGGAGGGAACTAAAACGCCCAGATATTGATTAAACAGTCATTTGAGATAGCCGATGCAAAGTGCACTAGCATGTACATATACTGCAACGCATGCAGTGTGCTTAGTGCACGTTTTTAACGTTCTCGATAGCGTAAACGTTAACACAATTTTGTATTGGAACAGCGCCCCTAGCGGCAAACGTAGGCAAACGTTCCAACTCTATACAAATTTGAGTTAACTTTTATTCACTTTACTCTTCGTCGGAGTCGACGAGTTCGAAATGCGAATTAGCCCATAGACACAACCCACTGAGTTTCTCGCCGAATCTTCTAAGTGAGTCGCGATTCCGATCCGGTGGTAGATTCAGCAAATCAGTGCTCTAGCTAAGGCTAGTGGTAGCAACTCTCTCAGGTTGAGCTTCTGAGCTCACTTACCGGTCCGCGTGAAATTGTAATAGCTCCTTACTCTACCAACTCCGGAAGAATCCAAAAGGTAGACGTTAAAGGAAAGAGATCTTCCGGTGTCTTACTTAATATGGGTGTTCCTCAGGGTTCCATATTGGGTCCCTTCTTATTTCTTGTGTATATCAATGATTTACCAAAGTTTATTGAAACCCGTCACGAGGTCGTATTATTCGCTGATGATACATCCTTATTGTTTAAAATTAAACGACAATTGGAAGATTATGACGATGTGAATGATGCTATCTCGCGCGTGGTACATTGGTTTAGTGTTAATAATCTGTTATTAAATAACAAAAAAACAAAATGTATAAAATTTACCACACCTAATGTTAGACAAGTAGACACTAATATCATTGTAAGTGGAGAGACACTGGAGCTTGTTGATTCGACAGTTTTTCTTGGTATAACAGTTGATTCCAGGCTGCAGTGGGGTCCTCACATATGCAAGTTAGCGAATAGACTTAGTTCTGCAGCGTTTGCGGTAAAAAAAATACGAACGTATACTGATGAAGATACGGCACGTCTAGTTTATTTCAGTTATTTTCATAGTGTTATGTCCTATGGCATTTTGCTATGGGGCAATGCTGCCGATGTCGAAACGATTTTCATCCTGCAGAAGAGGGCTATTCGTGCTATTTATAATATGCACCCGAGGGAATCCTTGAGGGACAAGTTTAAGGAAATCAAAATTCTAACTTTAGCGTCCCAATACATTTTTGAAAATTTATTGTACGTGCGTAAAAACATTGTAGAATTCCCCAGAGTCTGCGATTTGCATAATGTGAACACTAGGAACAAACATAGGCTTGCGTTGCCGGCGGCTCGAATTAAGAAAATAAGCAACTCTTTCAGGGGGCTGGGTGTACAACTTTTCAACAAGATCCCACAAAACGTTCAACTACTACCTGTTCATAGATTTAAGAAAACTGTCAAGGAACGTTTGTGCAACAAGGCATATTATAAAGTTAAGGATTTTTTACTAGATGGCACTACGTGGGAATGAGGCGTTCGCTCCTGGCCTTTTCATTTTTCATTATTATTATTATTTATTTGAATTGTATTTTTTTGACTTGTCTTTTTGTATACTGTAAATATGTTTTCTTGTTTAAAAAAAAAAAAAGAAGAAAATAGTTGAGAAAATACATAAAAAAGCCCGCTGAGTTTGTTTCGCCGGTTCTTCTCAGGACTGTGGCTTTTTTGGAACCGGTGGTAGAGTTAACATTTTCTTTTACATTTTGACATTCAACAAGTGTGTTTTTGATGACATCCAAGTTGAAATAAATGATTTTGAATTTGAATTTGAATTTGAACTATTAGGTACGTTAAAAATTACTGCAAATTAGTGCAAATGTTTAAAACCACTATTAGTTGTTGTCCAGTCCTTTCAAGGAGTTACGATTGTTCCTGACGGTTTTAAAAACCACAACGAAAGATACGTCTCTTTGTTCTTGATCCCATATTAAAGATTTAATGCTTGGATAATTGCTTAAGTCAAACAAAAAAGTATAATATTTATGACGGTCATCTACTTTATATGTAATCGAAAAGTTCTAATTTGCACGAAAATGAACGAATACTGCGTACTAGCTATAAAACTAATTAAAGTCGCCGATCTAATATAATATAAATTGTTGAAGTTTCTGTAAAGTATCATATTATGGAAATTATAAAGTATTCTTCGAAACGCCAGAACTCTAAAAGTAATTTTAATTACATGCAAGACTCACGAAAACCAAAGAAAATACTTTTAGATAAAAATTAATTAGGGTGAAAATTTAGGCAGTATTGAAAATTTAAGAAATATTGGTTTGAATACAACTTCGCTTCGCATCACTTTCTTGTAAACGATTTTGTAGTGAAATTGAAAGTTATTCAGACATTTTATTAATTTTAACAAAATAATATCGTCTTGCAGCGTCTTTACAACATTTTGTTTTTGTACCAGTTACATTATGTATCTGTCTTTTAAAGTAAGATAAAATTATGTATTAATTTTGTTACTAGTACCTACCTAGTGAAAACATAGGAAAACTAAAAAAAAAAAAAAAAAACTATGCTCTTTTGACAGCATTTATAAAAAAAATACTGGTGATACCAAATGATTCCGCATATTAACTCAACTTCGAATATTTTTGGAAATTGTACACTTTTAATGCGAAAAGACGCTATGTCGATCTCGTGAATATAAAATAAAAGATTCGAACAATGACTGCAACACGGGATCTTAAGTCGTAAAATGTATACGATTTCTCGTCTGCGCTACGAACTGCGTAGTTTGATATTGCGTTTCTACCAAGGAACACACTGCCCTAGGTCAAGGATACATTAAAATAGAAATAGCTGATTGAGATTTGCTTATTGATTAACAGATTCAAACTATTTATAATATTTGTATATAGATATGTAAGTAACGAAAGGACACTTATACTTACACAGAATATGCATAAACCTATCATTCTAAAACCTATTCTTAAAATATTAGAAACCTATGCAAATAACCTTGCTAAATATCTACTGGACAACCAAATGACCAAAAGACTTAGAAGAAAATTGCCTCATGATCTACTAGATCCACTATCGATTGGACATGTACACGCATTGGTCATGATATTGGCCTTATCGTTGCCGCCGCTGACTACTTCCCGAATCCTGATCACGCAGGAGCCAGTCACCGTCGACGCCCTAGACATGTCCTTACAGATCCATCAGATCCTAATGCAAATAACCTTTGCATTAGACGCCTCCAGCTCTAACACTAGGAGCAGGCTTAGGAACCCCGGTAACCGTACTCGTCGAACTCGACAAAGAGTTCGACGGGCAACCTAACCCATACATCAGTCTGCTGAGTTTCTCGTCAAATCTTCTAGGTGGGTCGCGATTCCAATCCGTTAGTAGATGCATTCGCGAAGCAACTGCTCATGAGTTGTTAGGTCTCCTTCGGAGGCGCTCGAGCAGTTGTTAGCAAGTCCCACCCCTTCTGGCAGAGCCTTTGCTCGCCCACCTGTCCTGGTGAAACTGGAAAGGCCTCAGAGCCACCAGTATTACTATGAAATTCATAGTTTTTCTCAAAACTACGGGTGGTACTTACTTACTGGTGGAAGGACCTCTTGTGAGTCCGCACGGGTAGGTACCACCGCCAACCCTGCCTATTTCTGCCGTGAAGCACTAATGCGTTTCGGCTTGAAGGGCGGGGAAGCCGTTGTAACTATACTTGAGACCTTACAACTTATATCTCAAGGCGGGTGGCGCATTTACGTCGTAGATGTCTATGGGCTCCAGTAACACCACTTAACACTAGGTGGGCTGTGAGCTCGTCCACCCATCTAAGCAATAAAAATAAAAAATAAAAACTACGGGTTAATTTCTAATACAGCTTACTATATAGAATTAAAAAAAAACCTAGAGTATAAAGAGCTACTGTAGTGAAGCTTCAGCTAAATTACTTTTACACTTTAAATTTAAAATCGCCATAGATTACATTTATCGCCATCGCCATTATCAGCCCTATCGCCATAGATTATACTATAATTCATAACTTATTTAGAAGTGAAGAATATGACGTTTTGCCTGTGTTGTACCAACTTCAGAAAACAAAAAATGTAATCAATGTTGTCAATCCGATTTATTTTTGTTTATTCGAATGAAAGAAAGAGAAAGCCCGATACCCACCTATCAAAGAGAACACTGACCTGGAAAGTGTCTGGCAAGAGGAAGTTTTTCAATTCAAATTCAAAATCATTTATTTCAACTTAGATGTCAGTATGACACACTTGTTGAATGTCAAAATACAAATAACAATGTTAACTCTACCACCGGTTCCAAAAAAAGCCACAGTCCTGAGAAGAACCGGCGAAACAAACTCAGCGGGCTTTTTTTTTTTGTTTTTTCCTCAAATATTTTCTTTTTTTTAAATAAATAGAAATATTCACAATAAAAGAAAAAACAAGTCAAAAAAATACAATTAAAAATAATAATAATAATAATGAAAAATGAAAAGGCCAGGAGCGAGCGCCTCATTCCCACGTAGTGCCATCTAGTAAATAATCCTTAACTTTATAATATGCCTTGTTGCACAAACGTTCCTTAACAGTTTTCTTNGTGACGTCATCTGGAGGGGCAACTCGTCATCTGGAGGGGCAACCGACCGACCAGCGGGGACATCACGCCACCTCGGATCACTTTTGCTGGAAGCGCGCGCAGCGTTCACTTGTCTTAGATTTAATATTCTGTGTCGATCGTTCCAACCCACTTTTGTATTTTTTTATTTATTCAAATTATTAAGCCGTTGCTAAAACTATATTTATACTATATAGAATTTAAAAAAATACCTAGAGTATAAAGAGCTACTGTAGCGAAGCTTCAGCTAAATTACTTTTACACTTTTAATTTAAAATCGCCATAGATTATACTATAATTCATAACTTATTTAGAAGTGAAGAATATGACGTTTTGCCTGTGTCGTACCAACTTCAGAAAACAAGAAATGTAATCACTGTTGTCAATCCGATTTATTTTTGTTTATTCGAATGAAAGAAAGAGAAAGCCCGATACCCACCTATCAAAGAGAGCACTGACCTGGAAAGTGTCTGGCAAGAGGAAGAGAGGACGCCCCAGAACAACTTGGCGTCGCTCGGTGGAGCAGCAACTAGGGGTCTTGGGCATGACGTGGGAGGAGCTAGAACAGACTGCCCAAGACCGATGTAAATGGAAAAATTTGATTCGAGCCCTACACCCCAGCAGAGGGTAATAGGAAAGAATGATGATAATGATGATTCGAATGGAATTTGAAAACAATTTATTCGGATCTGTCTATCATTTCTGAACTAGAGTATTCATACTTTCCCGTTCAAATATTGCAAGTCTTTGAAAGTATGTTATATGATGTAAGTTCAATTAACTATAACATTCAGTTTCAAATTACATTTACATTCGAATGTAATATGATTCAAAAATAAACTTTAAGTACATACGTATAGTCAAGTAAGACGCTTGTAGTTGAATTACTTAAAAGAATAACACGCCTTCGGTAATAAAGTAAGTATTTGTATAAACAGACAAATATTATTTTAAAATTTATTATTATTATTCAAACTTATATATTCTTCCTGTAATAAAAAACAAAGACGCAATATTTAAAAATACTGTTATAAGCTCTCAGTCACCTGGTGTTAAGTGGTGGCTCATTGACCTCACAAAGTGAATGCCGTCGAATGAAGGTGGGTACCTTAACACATTTTTTTTTATTGCTTAGATGAGTGGACGAACTCAGAGCCCACCTGGTGTTAAGTGGTTACTGGAGCCCATAGACATCTACAACGCAAATGCGCCACCCAACGCAAATGCGCCACCCACCTTGAGATATAAGTTCTATAGTTACAGTAGTTGCTCCAACCTACAAACCGAAACGCATTACTGCTTCACAGCAGAAATAGGCGGGGTGGTGGTACCTACCCGTGCGGACTCACAAGAGGACCTACCACCAGTGCCTACTACCACATGGTAGTCCCTACTACCAGTACCACACTAAGTCTGAGTCTCCATTGTATAGTATGATGACTGTTCAGTCTTTAAAACTGAAAGGTATGATTGTCACGCGGCAAAAATGGCCGAGTGGTGGTACATACCCGAGTAGGCTGCAAAAAAAAAAAACGCTCTTGATGTATTTCTCTTGCTGTTATTCAATCACCGTGAAATACTTCGTGAATATATTTTAAGTAATCCGGCATAGTATCTTCATTGGATGAAAACGATTGCACGGGGCGCCTAACCCATAACGCCATGCTTAAAAACTTAAAGCTAGCAGGCTTTCCTGAGAGAAGTACAAAATAAAACCTACACGGTTCCGCACTGACATCCGACAACCCCACTCGTATTATTAAGAACCAATTTAAATCTACGAAGCACTATAGCCCTCTATAGTGCTTCGTAGGTAGAAAATGTTTTTCTTGGAATAGATGCTTTCAAATTTCAAATTCAGCATTCTCCTAATTCGTCTTGTTCGCAAAAACGAGTTCATTTGGATATTAATATTAAACAAAATACGCGAATGAGTTAAAAATATGTACTACTATGGTTTTTTATTTATTTTTATAGCTTAGGTGGTTGGACGAACTAATTTTTTTTTTTTATTGCCTTTGTAGGCAGACGAGCATACGGCCCACCTGATGGTGAGTGGTTACCGTCGCCCATGGACTTCAGCAATGCCAGGGGCAGAGCCAAGCCGCTGCCTACCCGCTTAATACTCTCCACAAGCCTCGTTTGAAGAATGACATGTCATAGCGCTCGGGAAACACCGACTCACTCACTAACTCACCTGATGTTAAGTGGTTACCGGTGCTCATAGACATCTACAACGTAAATGCCGCCACCTACCTTGAGATATAAGTTCTAAGGTCTCAGTTTTTACAGTACAACGGCTGCTCCACCTTTCAAATCAAAACGCATTACTGGTTCACGGCAGGAATACGCAGGGTGGTGGTACCTATCCGTGATGATCGCGAAAACTAAAGTATTCGAAAAGTCAACAACAAAATGAAAATGATAATCGCCAGATTAAGCCGTAACAGTAGTTTTAAATACGTCCACGACTCGTGAACACCGAAGAAAATTCCGCAATTTTTAGTATTTTTAGATGGGTCTTTTTTCGCAGTCATCTTATTCAAATAGGTAACCCTATTTCATTCCCACAACGGAGAATCTAGTGACATCTCTTAATATGTTTAACTAAATACACTTGGTTTAGTTATCCTATAGAGCGTTCCAAAGAAATAGAAATACTATTCTTCTTCTATTATACATATCTAAATAGGTACCTACGTATTTACACTCGGAAAACATTACCGTCATTAGTCTGAAAATTTCATAAAAATTTACAAAAGCGCCATCTGTTATTATATGCTGAAACCATGTTGAAATTTTTTTTTTCATTATATCGTGCATTTTAATACTCGCGTAACTAATCACAGATGTCACTATTACACTATTTACGGATTCTTCACTAGTTTTTAATATCTTGAATAATTTGCATAATATTTATGCCAAACTCAAACGAAATAGATACATACTCAAATCATTTTAAAGTTAAATGTTCCAGTTACTAATTGATAACGATGGTTATTGTTTTACCCGAAACAATTATGTCTATTATGATGAATTTTTGTAATTATTAATTGTAAAAGCATTAAATCAGAATTATAAAAATGTTGAAAGGTAACTTTGCAATTTGAGGCCTTTAATAATAGTCCTTGAAAATCCAGTTTTAGTGACACACATTGATATCATAATTTACAAATCCAAACCATTTCGTATGACAACCTTTTAAGACAAAGCACAGCTGTTGGGAAAGATTTCTCAGCTCTAAACATAGCATTAGTGCCTACACACGACATATTGTTCTATTATTTAAGTGTCCACAATACCAAAAAGCAAAGATTACTTATCGCACAAAACACGGTGTCTTTTCTGCGAAATGTAGGCTATTCTGATTAGCATACAGTGAGTAATTACAAACTGTAATTTGAGATGACGAAAACTTCCATCTTTTTGTGCAATATATTTTAAGTATTATTGAAGCTATATGTAAACACGGAGTTCAATTGCTATACTAAAACCAAAATTTTTGATTATATTCGTATTTTGTACGGACATAGTTCCCATATAGTCCACATTGAATTCGACATGTTGTTTACCAACAACCTTATTTGCAGAAGCACAAAGAAAATAATTAGTAGCTTACATTTTGCGATTCCTCTTCAAGAACAGCCATTGTTTCAAAATCGATATTCATGTTTTTGTATTATAACACACGCGTGTTGTCTGTCAAATAATTATCAGACAATTGCACAGTGAAACAACCAGGAAATTAGATAAAATAAACTTAACAAAATCAATTCTTCAAGGTGTTGTTTACAAACTAGCAAGGTCATATCTCATTTGACAAGAATTTGACATGTTTTTTGGAAAATACATTGATGCGTTCAATTTAATGAAAAATCGCCTAAAAACAAATCTAACTTTATCATTGGGAAATTTGAGGGAAATATTAATTAATTCAGATATACAGTCTACAGTCACTGGATTATTTTTACCAGTATTGTTCCCTAACAAAATTACTAATTTTCTGTAAAAGTTTGAGTGATTGTAGATCTTTCCTCCGTAATGTGTCTTAATTTTGATAATCTATGCCATCTATGCCAGTCATAGATTATACACTATATGAATATATTATCTATGATGTCAGTGTAATAGCCAACCCAACAAGCCTTAATGTCAATTTTTTTTCGACCTCGCTGGGTATCGTGTAGGCACATAACTTGAGTGAATTTGTGATAATATTTTTATTTTTTCATTAAACCTGTGATGTGGCTTAATGTACTGTGTTGTTAATTTTTTTAATTTTAGGATGTGTATATTGTTTTCGCGGTATCCTATTGTCAAGTGCGGTTAGTGCATTAGTGTCATTGAAAGTTCAAGATGCGTATCGGTTTCATTTTGTATTGGTGCGTATTTATTCTTCATCTGTGTAAAGCTGACGATGCCGAGAGGACAGAAAAAGATGGTGGAAGGCGGGAGAAGTGGGGTCCAGTGGTCCGAAGTGGTTCTTTCGTAACAGATCCAGCTTTTACAGCCTCAAATGATCAGAGTAAGTTAGTGACCCTGAATTTCATGGTAGTGTCAGATATTTCGCGATAACTGGCAATGGCCTTCAATGAAAATCACTAAAATTGTACTGAATAAGCTGAATGACTGTGCATTGAATTGTTCTTTGTTGAATTCTTTTTTTACTGTACCTACGTAAGACTATCATAGAGTAATAGAAACACAAAGACCGATAATCATCTCTATATAAAAAAAATACGTTTTTCAGTTTGTAAAGATAGTTAAAGTGATCATTTTCAATTCTCAATCTTTTCACTAATGCAATCTTTGTTCTTGCATTAATTTAAAAACAAATGTAATTTCTCTTTCCAAATTAATAGTGATTTCACCATTATATTTATTTGAAAACATTACTTAACAAAATGTATGCAATACCCAAACTTCTTGAAAGTATGTACAATGAATGATGAAAATAACATGAAAACATTCAGTCAGTATCCTAGATTTTTATTACAGAGTTAATGAAGTTAATTTAAGTTAATCCAAGACGTCTTATGATGAAGCATTTACTGATATAATTATATTTAAGATTGGTTCTCAATCAAATTGTGAAGTAAGTAAAATTTAAAATCCGATCTGTTCACCTAAACCAATCTAAATAAAACTGCTTTTCCCCTAAGGGAAATTGGGTTACTGAAAATCATTTCACTTTGAGCTATTTTTATCGTAGATATTTGTTAAAGGGAGTGAACATTTTATTTTATTTTTTGTATAACAATCACAAAAATTACTCAAAAAATAATGGAACAGCTTCTTTCTTCTTTCTGGTCGTTCCCTCAATGCTGAGGATCGTGACTGTATGTCAATCTTCTCCACTCGGTCCGGTTCTGCGCCATATGTACAGCTCCCCATATCTGGCATATCTTAACCCATTTAAAATATTGAAAAGGGATGAATTAATGTATTATTAGAGTTGAGAATTGGTTTCAATGTTATATACTCCACTTTTTGCCTATTTATAAGTTGTGACACTAAAATATTTGAGAAACAATAATTTCAATACCACATTACATGATTATTAACTTTTTAGTTGAATAATATGAAATTAACCTAAATATTTACTTAAACTATATTCAATTTTACACCATTAACAATTTTTTCAACATCACAAAATACAGTAAAATTAACTTCATTATTAACTGCATATAGTTCTCATATTGTGCATAGGCAACTTTGTAAAGTTTTGAATGCATCATGAAAGCATTGTATATTTATTGGCAATGAGAATTCAGAAAATATGTATCCGCTCTCAATTAGTAAATGTTGTGTTTCTGAAGCAATTAGGATAATGTTCTCTACAATATTTTTATTTTATACAATGTTTTGGTTATTGAATTTCAATGATGATGATTTAGTTATAATTAAAATTGTGAGCTTAAGTAATTGAGGTTAATAATAATAGATCTGCTTTCCTTCCTAATTGCCCTACAATAGTAGCAATTTTTTTTATGTTTAACTTTTAAACCATAATTCTGGGATCTTAGTAAAATTACTTAATGCATTATTAATAATTGTTAAAAAAATACAATATATATCAATATCATCAAGGACTCTGTTTTACTAAATGATTTCTGTACTCAGATTTGAATAATTTATCTATTTCTTACTACATTGGCTTAGAGAAACGTAAAAAACCCATTAGACACAAGAAAACTCCATTGAAATCTGCAAATTTATGTCATTAAACACAATGTTTTGTGTTTCTATGTGGTCAACAATAACTCCTTAAAGATTTACCATTGACCATTACTTAGAAATTTCCATAAAGAAGTCAGTTCATTGTACTCAATGACAAGACAGTTTTAGTACATTTATTATCAGAATACTGCTTGATAACAATATAGCCTAGACAGTTGACTTATCAAATTGATATGAAGCAGATTTTTTAATTCATCAATGAATAAATTACTAATGATCCACCTATGTATGTGGTTATAATTTTTTCCTATATTCATACTACACTTTTTAACATAATATACAAAGACAAACTACTGAATGAGCATATGTTTCACATACATCTACAGGCCTTTCTCTTAATTGACAGTCAAAACTTAAAGTTATAAAGTAGTCCATAGCAATCTCGAATTGTATCATGTACAAAGATTATGCTTTGATTCAATCCTTAATAATAGCTTTAATAGTCATAGTCAATGAACTACTGGGACACATTTCTCTACTATTTCTTTGTAACAAATAAGAGAAGCAAATACAAGCTTATCTATTTTTGTAACAAAACATTTATTAACATTAGACCATCACAAAGATAAAATTCCTTGTAGTGCATTGAACGAGATAAGTAAACAGTTCTGATTTCATATCAGATAAAACATAAGCTGAGCTAGACACTAAATATAATTTCCTGTGCTTTCATGAGGATAATACTATAAGTTTAATAAACATTTTAAACTCTGGAAATAAGGCTACTTACCGTTCACACTAAAATAATGTTTAAACAGTAGTTTAGTCATTAGTAAAAACCCGACAGGCTTGGATCGATCTCTAAATTACTTATATCAATATCATTGTTAAGATTCCAGAAATTTCTTAGCCTTTGTTTTTAAAAACAGGCATTAAGTATTTCTAACATTTAATTAGGCCATTGAGAGCCAAATATATACATATAAAATGTGGAAGATTGTGTGATTGTTCTTTCTGAAAGTAGGTAAATGTATCTTAGATATTTTTATTTGCTCTATATGCCACTTTTTATGATATCTGATATATGGTTGACCAGTTACTTAAATATTATTTAATTTTGTCCTGAAACCATATGATGTTTATGAAACATAACATAAAATTAAATTATGTTAATTAAGAAAATGGGAGTTATGTTGTTTTGCTATTTCACCATACTCTATTTCCATCGCAAATTATAAAAAAATACAATTTCTGATATTACTGGTGGAAGGACCTCTTGTGAGTCCGCGCGGGTAGGTACCACCGCCCTGTCTATTTCTGCCGTGAAGCAGTAATGCGTTTCGGTCTGAAGGGTAGGGCAGCCGTTTTAACTATACTGAGATCTTAGAACTTTATCTCAAGGTGGGTGGCGCATTTACGTTGTAGATGTCTATAGGCTCCAGTAACCACTTAACGCCAGGTGCTGTGAGCTCGTCCACCCATCTAAGCAATAAAATAAAAAAATTGGTAATGAAGAGGCAAGGCGTTCCAATGCTGTTGACAATGTTGAAATACTTCGGAAGCTAAACTAGATCGGACCAGGCAATGTGCTCCCGCGGTCTCTTACTTAAATGGAAATAGGCTCAACTTCAATACCCTTCTGAAATGTTTAAGAACGTTCCTTATATTCGAGTTTCCGAACACATTTACGAAGTACTGAATTTCCCCGGAAGATTGTATCATATCTTAGTTTTGAAACAACGCAGTGATCGACACGACAAATAGAGTTGATCACGAACACAGTCACTTAACTCTTGTTTTATTAAGATCAATTGATCTCGGTAACGAAAAACATTGTAAAAATATTGGTAGTACAAAGAATCCATTACTGACATCACTATAATAAAATAAGAATTACTTTTGGGTCTACTTACTTTAATGTTGATCTCCTTTTAGAATAATTTATTGTGTCCTTTATTTATTTAAATTTAAAATTGCGTTATTTTATATGCAAACAATTGATGTCGACGAATGATGTTCTGAAAATAATTGCATCTAGAAAAAAGCTGTTAAACACAAATTTAAAAGCAATCAAAGAACTGAATTACGTCACTGAATCATGTCCGTGTAAATTAAATGCAAATTTGGGAAGCACATAAAAATAGCTAGATCTTTCTTAGGAGTTGATTTTGTGGCCAAATACAGTAATAACTAAAATGTAAACCTAAAAATCACTTACAGTGACTTACATACGTGCGTGGGTATCCCGTGGTAAAACTGATTTCCTATTGGAACACTAAACAGATAAAGATGACGTATCAGGTTGTTCAGTTCTCAAAACCCTTAGTCTATTGAACTTAAACCTGGACCGAAGGGCAGCCAGGGTCGTTGAAAGTAGATGAGACTTCATTAACACTGAAAAACCTGTTTTAAATGTACAAAAAGAAAATGTACTACGAAAAACCCGAATAATAAAATAAAATCTTACAAGAAAATCAAAGAGCTAGAACTGAGAGAAAAACATAATCAAATAACACATAATCAGCATTTTAGAAATAGAATACATCAGAATCAGCAACAGTATAAGCATTACTTGGTTATCAAAAACAAATTCAGTCTCTAGTTAGAGCGCATAGATAGTATAGACAGCGTAACAACCCGTTAATTAACACACGTTCTACATTTAAGCATATAAGTTAAAATTTTCTTGTATGTACATATATATGTGTTGATAAGATGAACGAAGAAAACCCAGAGCTTGTAATCCAATAATATAATCAATCAGCCAGGGTTTCGAAATTAACCATTAAAATTACATTAAGTAAATAAGCACGTTAAACTGCAAAATTCCTTTACCTTACATGAATTTCTATTCATTGCTTTGCGTAATTCGTAGGTTTTATTAAAAAAAAATTGCACAGTACCCTAAATATTATTCTACAATAAAAGTAACCTAACTTTTTAAAACATAGGTCACTCATATCATCCTTTATTAATTCCGTGCGTCTAGCATGCAGACATATTTTTCATAAACCATATTATATACTTTCATATGTATTTAGCATTGATCAATATTTAATATGTAGTACAGATTAGAAAAAAAAATTAAGTGTCTGTCTGTAAAGTCAAAATAAGCCGTTATTTTGACTTAAGTAGACGCGTCATGTTCATTTATCTCTACAGATATTAAGTGTTAATTATCTTTCCAGTCTGACCTACAACAAGCTTTAAGATTAATTGCTACATTGCTTCGAGCAACCTTAGCTAGAAACTAGGTTATGTTAGCAGAAGGCATGACTCACTATACACGTCCTACAAGGAGATAGTGTTAAAACCGCTACCTTACAAGTAACAATTGAACATTAT